GAGAGTATCCGAATATTTCGTGATTTCTGAGGACAAATTTAGAACTGGACGACACCCTTGCAAAACAACTTAGAGAAGGTAAATCCATTCGCATGCCCCAATTCAAACCAGCTTACAGCTGAACTGGCCAGCTTGGTTAAAAATTTCCGATAAACAAATAGATAAATAAATAAATAAATAAATAAACAAGCTATGGAAAATTTGAATAACGATTTGTCCGTCATACTTTAAGAAGCACTAGACTACGGCAAGCTATATTGACTTTGAAAAATATAACTAAATCACCCGAAGAACTACCTCTCAAAGCAACCAAGCCCTTATCTCGGACAACAAATATAAACAAGCACACTTAGTGGACTCTTACATAAGCCGTTTATAGACGCCAGCATTAGATAAATTCTCATCTCAACTGTGATCTTGCATTTGCGCCTGTTGTGACTTGATCTAATTTGTTTACGAGAATGAGCATCATATGGAAAATTCCTCTCCGCTCCACCTATTATTCTCAGAACAATTTAAGCACTGATAATCGAGGTTTTCAAAACGCTTTTTGTCTCTTTTCACCCTCCGTCATGTCCATTATTAATGATTATCAGAGTATACAGGTATCCCAAGCTTGCAAAATACGGTTACTTTGCACAATGGGCGAAATAGAAAGATTTGAAAAAGAATAAATAATCACAAAGAAGATGAAATAAAACCGAACTAAACAGTCCTAAAACAGCATATAAAATTGACACGATACAGAGGTACAACCACTGAGCTAGGTAGGTTTGTTATTTATTCAAAACCAGGTTAGGTTTTTAGGTTGGGAACGCGACCGTTGATTCCCATAAAAATCCTTTCATTTCGCACCATAATGCAACGCTAAGATATCTGCATATTTGAAGGCTCTTGACCCTCAACTCTCAGGAGTGATTAACACGTAACTTCTCCCTATAACATCCATACGGTATCCAACAATAAGCTAAGGAGAATACTCAAACGTATCAGTAAGAGGTTGCAATGTTAATCTAACTCCAAATTTTTAAAGCTAATTATTAAGGAAATGCGTGGCAAGTAGAGGGGAGAATTACGAATCAGATCTTGAGAGTCAAAGGGTTAGCCGTAAGACGGTAAAAAAAAAAAGTAAGCTGTTCGGCGTAAAACTGGAAAAGTGTTAGGCCGTTAGTCGTAAAAAAACAGTAACCTCGAAAGTTGTTCTGTTAACTTTAACAGAAAGAAATTAACCGGTAGCCGTAAAATTGCCAAAATTATAACCACTAGCTGTAAAAGCCACCACCACACTTCGAGACCCCCTTTTTACGGAGGCTCATTTTGCGAGCTTGGGCTACCTGTGGCTTAACTGGTGCTTATAATAAACACAGATTTTCTTAATCCTTTTGTGCATCATTAAGAAAAAAAAGGGTATCTTGCAATCAAGTGAGGCAGTTTTATACAAGCGAACACAAAGGGTTCGAGAAGCTCAAAGATTTATCAGATTCACCGCTTAGCAGAGAATTCCTTTGATCTAGCTAGAAATAACGTCGTCATTGACTCTAAGAAACGGAGAAGTATTTGATCGTCAACAAACTATGATCTCGCCCCATCTTTGAAATGGCCAACGCGTTAAAATGAAATCGTGCAGAACGCCGAAACGTTGAGAGTTTCCTGCACAGATTTCTGTGCACTTTTACCTGAACAAATAACAAAAGGTTTTACTCAATACTGTCATTTAAATTTCTCCTAATGAAACCTGGTGGTGGAAGTGCTCAACCTGTTAATTAATTTCCCTAAGGAATAAGATCTTGGAGAGGTTTCCTAATGAACCTTTGACTTTTCAGTTACTTAAAATGACGTTAATACGCTCAGAACAATGAGCAGCCAAAAACATAGCAATATAATCAGGTGCACAAATATGTAACGCAAGGTTGTTTCTCACTAGGGCCACCTGAAAGTAAACTTATTTGGTTCTATGTCAGGGGCGTTATCAAGTGATATTGAGTTGTAAGATATCATCTGATGTTTGCATTCTGCGATCCCTCTTCGTTTCCCGTGGATGACTTATTCATGCATCATGAGATGCCAAGAATTCTTTACAACTGTACATTCTAGAGAAAGGCCAATCAGAAGGAAGGAAAATACCTTTAAGAGCCAATGAGGACTCATAGTAAAAACAACCAAACTGTCTCAAGCGCGGGAAAACGCGGGTGACCATCTCGCGATTGGTTTTTATTTTGTATCTGATTGGTTGAGAGAGTGGTGTGAATTTTCTGAACCAATCACATAGCGTAGTAAGCCGTAGATGCCAAGAATTCTTTACAACTGCACATTCTAGAACTAGAGGTAATTATTCCAAGGTAATTTAAAGAGACTCATCCATAAAAGGATGTCTTCCAATAAAAAATATGAACGCTGTCGCAAATCGTTAAAGCCAAGAGTTGAGAACTGAGATCATAGTGGGAAAAAAAATAACCTTGAATCTTTCTTTACTGTCATGCGCGGCACAGGTTTCAGATCAAATGAATGTCTGTCCAAGCACAGGGGAGGATCCAGCATTTAGTTAAGGGGGGTTCGGCGAATTGTCCGAGAGTATGCTTCCCAGGGAGATTTGGAAAATTAGGTCTTCGGAAACATGATTTCCAACATTCTAAGGGAAATTTGAGGGGTTCGACAGCTCCACCGGAACCCACCTGGATCCGCCCCAGAAGCAAATACGGTCAAAATACGGTCATGGCTAGAAATTTTGTTAGCTTTACTTTTTCGCAAGGACTGAATACTTGCATTTTATTTACTTTATGATCTCTTCGTGTCTGGACAGACTGCATCTCTGACATAATGATAGGTCCTATTTGCGACCTTGTATAGGATTCGACAGCACCCTTAACTAACTGTTATCATAATATCCAAGCTTCAATTTCTCATTCTTATAAGACTTTAAAACGGAAAAACACTATAACGCAAAACCTTATCGATCTGATGTCGTCGTCAATTACTAGTGTTTCACCGCTTGTCTCCTAAACAGATTTCAAAATCCTTTTCAATGTTGTTTACAAACGTCAGCTTCTTTTCTTAAGTAATGAAAGGTCTTCGCCTAAGGGATTACATCGTGGTACATAAAGAAAACAACAAAATGTATTGTTCTATACTTTCCGATTATATTTTACCTAGTGATGGAAGCGTTCGCCGTGTTCATCAATTCACTTAAAAAATTAGAGTGTCGAAAGGTTCTCTGATTAATTTTTTACCTCTTTAGTTTGAAATTAAATTTGCGTTGATAGCTCAAAACAGTGTGTAAACACAAATATGCAACGCAATGTTGTTTCTCACCAGGGCCACCCAAAATGAACTTATTTATGTCGAGGATGTTGGTTGTTGTGCAGTCGTACTAAATGGTATCAGTGGTGCGACATCATCTGACGTATGCAGGTTGCGATCCCTCCCCGTTTCTCGTAGATGACTTATTCATAGAACCCCGCCAATAATTCTTTACAACTGCACATTCTAGAAGTAGAAGTAATTATTCCTAGGTAATTCTAAGATTATTATCTTTTATTGTCTTTCTTTACGAAAGAGAAACTGAATGCTACCGCAGATCGTTAATGCCACTAAATAAATATAACTGAAGAATTGAAATCGCAATAGAAAATAAAAACCTTGAATTTCCATCGACAAATGGAAAAAAGGACATGACCGGGCCAGCATTGTACAAATTCAAAATTTTTACTCGAACATAATCAAATTCTGTTAATTAGGGATAGTTTTGCAAGATTAACGTTTTTGTAATAAGCTATCATGGGTTGGTTAAAAAAAAAACATTGTTTATGTTGGTTATATCTATCTCGCTTGAAATTTTATGAATAATAGTTGTTTTGAGCGTTTGGGTATCTTATTTAAAGAGAAATGTTCAGGTTTGAAATTGAAATTGCAAGATTGGTAACGTAAGTAAATACACCAAAAGTGTATTTGGATCGATCGGTGCCCTCAGCACCTTCTAAAAATATGTAATTTTGATGTCTTTACAAGTGATAAAAAAATCGAGCTCTTTCTCAGATCGAGAATTGAAGTAAATGCACCAACCCACCCAACGTAATAAAATTATCACATAGCGAAACGCCGTCCCCCCTAAATCGTTACGACCTTTGGTGACGCAAGAAATATGCGTGACAGGTTTGCCATGTCACGCATTCTTAATATGGATAAAGTATCCGAAAGCGAAAGAGTTCATTGAAGGTGGGTTAAAAAAAATGTGTTTTAGGCTAGTAAAAGAATTTTAATGGTTTTGAATAGCTGTTAAGTCTTTCTATTTCTAGAAAATACCGCTCGTTTTTAGATATCACACGATAAAGGAGCGAAGAAAGAATGACATTCCATGTTCTCTTGTCCCGTGCAGAAACCGATAAGATTTTTAATTTCAATAACAACCTTTGGGTTCACTAAAATTTTGAATTGAAATAACCGAACTTTGGAATAGGAAATTGCAGAAGAATATTCCTGATGAAGTTAGTCTAAATATTAAACTTTTCGTCAAACTTTACGTTTGAAATAATCAGTTCGCGCGATATGAGGCAAATTAAAGATTAAATTCCTCCTCTTCTGTGATAAAAAGAAGAAAAAAATGTTCAAAATTTCATTTAAATACACTCGTCTTGCGAAAATTCTTCGTGATAAGATGATAACTTAGTGTATGTAAGTTTTCTTAACTTTTTTAACAGCTCTCGTGGGTAAAAATTTTTTACAAACCGTACAACATTTTTAGAGCCAGAAGATTTACCCTTTTAACTAACATTTTTCTTTTCTTTTTGATCATTTGTTTAATTTCCGTAATCTTCTTAATAATCCCATAATAAGTTATTTACAATTCATTTAGAGGGTTGCGAATTTGAAAACAAAAATATGTAATTTGCTACATAACTTTTGATGTTAATTTTCGCGCCATTTTGTTTTGGTTGCGCATGGTTTGACAATACTCCGTATTCAGCACATTTCACAATATGGAAATCGCTACAACCGCCCTTGCAGATTTTTCTTCGTGTTGTTAATATATTCAAGTTTGTGCACAGAAATCGGGTATTGGCAGATGAAAATTCGATATTGTTGCACACTTCTCCGATCTTCACGGGTCTTAACAGCTTCGCCCAGCGGTTTCTGTCGTCAGAGGAAGATTTACAGCATGGCGATGTCGGGTGAAGGCGATTTCAAGGACTTTGGACCTCTTGTTGGAGCGATCGATCAAGGAACTTCCAGCAGTAGGTTTTTGGTGAGTGGTAAATCAATTTCTTAGAGAAACTGGGTATATTTTTGCAACTAAACAGTATTATTTTTGCAATCAAATTATAACTATAGTCTGAGCAGTTCAGTGTGTGAAATGAGTGACACACAATCTACTGATCGTGTCTCGCGCAAATACTTTGAACGCACGAAACAACTCGATGTCTCTTCTTGATAATGTTACATTCCGCTAGATTTTCTCAGGCAAGATTAGTCAGTTTCATCAGATCAACGAGAAATCATACAACACTAGGTATATATTGTCTGGGCAGCACCCCTCAGCTGACTAAAAAAAAAACGCGCTTTGTTGGATGCCACTGTAAACAGGATTTACGAAATAAACATTCCTCCGTGATCCCGATCGTAATGTAAACAACTCTTTCTCCCTCGGAAGTTGTAACCCAGAAAAACTCTCAAATTTCTAGTGTTTATCCTCAAGATTTGACAGTAAATTAAATGAAATCATGGATGGATGTTTTCAGCCCGCAAGGTTTAAATTGTTACGAACAGTAATGAAATACAATTCTAGCTGTCGATCTTAGCTAAACAATGTTTGAACGCCAATGTAGAGTGATATTTTTCGTTTTTATGGCATTACTTTTTTGTTTGTTATATTTCGAAATTAACTTTTCTGGGGTCAGAGGCTGTCAAATCATACACACACCCAGTTTTCTAGCCGTAAACTGCCTAGAGGTCGCATTGTAGGATTTACCGTTCATGCACGGCCAACGCGTCTTGCCATCTATGGTTACAGCTGTCAAGACGGTAGTCGCACTTTGAACGTGACACGCCACGATACCAAAAATGTTGTCACACAAGTGCAATAATTTATTGTATTGTAGCTCTTGCCTCAATAGATGTGATCTGCACTTCATGGAAGCTTTGAGGAATTTTTTTTATTAATTGAAAAGAGAGCATTTTCCTGTTTGAATCAGCGACTTACTGTCGGCCGAAAAGAGCCGCTAAATTTGCGAAAAGGCTGAGAAAAACGATACCTTGAGTTATTCAAATAAATGATGGAACGAAGGAACGGTGTGGATCAGCGGAATTGCGGAATATCTTAAAACTCCATTTTGTATGAAACAAAAGTCTCAAAAAATTGAGTTGCAATTAAATGGGGAAATTATTTGCAATCAACAGACAAAATTTAAAAGAAACAGGTAATCAGAGGATTTGGGGACCACTAGGCTGTCAATTTAGCCCTTTTAAATTATTATTATGTTACTATTGTTATTTTTATTATTATTGTTGTTAATACTATTATTTGTTACCATTCAATTACAGTTTGAATATGTCAATTAGACAATATATTTTTAAAACCATCTTTCTTTTATGGAACAGGGTACTCATAAACATGTAGGATGCAGGAGGTTTTCTGTTTGTATGTAAGAAACAGTTTTGTCCACTAGAAAGGCATCATAACTTTTTTTAATAGCTTGGAATTTCCAAACAAGCATCCAATACTCGATCTTAACCTTTTCACTCCCAGGATTGATGAACATGTAATTTCTCCCCACAATATCCATGCATTATCCATAATTAGTATATAGTAAAACAGTGGATAGCGTTGAAGGCACGCTCTGATTGGCTAGTCAAACTCCGAATATCCTTTGCTATTTACCTCCGAGCAACTCGAGAAAAAGTGGAGTGCCGGTTTGCATCTGTGACAAGCGAAGAAATCACTGAAATAACAACGAAGCAGTCACTGAAAACACAGAGAAAGCGACTAAATTTGGTTTGGCTGTGTTTAAAGGTAATGGTAACCGGGAGTTTATCAATAAAAACCAATGAAAAAGGTTTTGTTTACAAATGCAAATTAATCTTGGGTGACCTCACTTGTTTACTTGAAAATCAAAGTTGAATGGTATTTTTTACAGAATGGTTTCAAATACAGAAAGAGTTTGCAACACCATTTGAAGAAATGTCGCCACCAGAGCTAAACAAAATGTCTTCAGAAATTTTATCTGTCAGCGAAAAAACGAGATGGCAGTTTTTACAACAAAAAATCACTTACCGCGATCCGAGCCGCGTTGGATCGTTACGCGCGGGAAAATGTTGAAATGTTGGAATCGGATGAATTAAAATCAATTTTTGGTGGTGTATATTATCTCACTGTTTTAGTATATACTAAAACAACTATTCACCTCAGTGTTGGTGGTTAGCAGTGGATATTTACCTCGCCGCTTCGCGGCTCGGTAAATATCCATCACTAACCATCTCCACTTCGGTGAATAGTTGTTAATTATTATATGGCTGTGTCTCACAAGGACTGGGAACTACCAAATTCACGAATTTGATTGGCTGAAATCAATATTGAAAGCGTCTAGATTTTCCCATCTACACCGGTCTAGAAAAAAAAAAAGGTACAAAGAATATAAAAAATTGGCATATAAGACACAGCCATATAATAAACATCTTATTAACCGAGCTAGGTCGGTCTGTATGGGAGAATCGTGACCTCGGTTGCTGGTACAGACCTCACTGTGTTCAGTCTGTACTGGCGACCTCTGTCAAGATTCTCCCATACAGACCTCCCGCTCAGTTAATAAGAACTAAATAGATGATAAGAATATTTAAACTTGTCAGGTAGAAGTTGTTATCATGATATGACACCAAATTCTTGTAACTAATATATGAGGAAATGTGTAGCAGTTAGAGGGGAGAATTAACAATCAGATCTTGGGAGCTAAAGGGTTAAATAAGAAGTTTGAAAGAACTCACCCTCAGACATGGAGACACGGTGTTAAAAAACATTGATGATAACTTTATTCTGCTGGATCCCAAATTTGAAATTTGTAATTTATTGCAGCTCTTTGCCAGTAAAACTGCTGAACTACTTGCCTTTCACCAAGTGGAGGTGAACAGTGTTTATCCCAAAGAAGGGTAGGTATTCCGATGCCACTCTACATGTAAATTACCTCTCTATGAATGACATCAATTTTTACATGTATTTGGTAAAAAAAAATAATAATAAAGCCACAGGTATTGAAAGTTGGTTGTGACACAGCACTCCAAATGGGGACCTTAATAGTGGCTGGGGCAAAGAAAAGTATTTGAACATTAAATTGCCAATGTGGTAACCTATGGTACATCAGTTTACCTGATATTTATGGTTAAACATAAACATTTGTATAAGATGAACATTTGCATATTAAGTATTGTTACTGATTGATTGTTTGTTTGCAAAACAAATTTGAGTACTTCTCATCAATTCTCTAAGTCCAAAGATTTTTCAAGAGGGTAGTTCTTCTCTGTGGAGACCATTTAATGACTTGGTTCTCCCTTTGGGGACTTTGAAAAGATTTGATCTGGGAGCCCCTCATAAAGTCAGTGCTGAAGAATATTCTTAAAGAACAAAGGACCCATTGACTGTTTCCCTTTATCTTTCACTTATCGCTCATTTAGCTTCAACTGAGTAGAAATACTCCTAGTCGCTTCATGCTACAGAAACGGGAGTTAAGCACCGGCCTAATGGACCACTAGGCTCATAAACAGACTTTACCTTTACCTTTCTTACAATCTATGACATAAATTGTATAATGGTTGTTATAGATGGGTGGAGCAAGATCCCAAGGAGATTTTATCATCTGTGTATCAGTGTATGGAGCAGACACTACACAGCTGCAAAGACTTGAAAATCAACCCAGCTGACATCAAAGGTGATTCACAGAAATATTTACATTGTATATCCACGGTTATCCAGCTATCTTAAACTATAATGGCCCCTGATTGTATCCCAGTTTCAGTGGTAGAATGATATAATATAAACTCTTTGACCTCTTGACCAGTATCTAATTTCTCCTTACAATATCACTCCTGAATCAAGCATTTGGGTCACGAGAATAAAGTAAATGATCACCAACTCAAGAAGCTCTGATTGTTATACAAATTCTCCTTGTCAGCACTTTGGGAAAGTGTATGGAGAACATGCAAACTGATGTCACAGTGTGAAGGGATGACAGCTAGAAGTTATTTTTATTCTTGTCACAAGTGTGGGAAAAAGAGAAATTTCTGAGTCTACAAGAAATGGAACTCTTGTACCTTTGGATTCTTCCCTTCATCACTCTTAGCCATTGAGCCACTGTAGACTCTTAGAGTTAGTGCATTGCCAGGTTGTAGTAATATTGATATTGCTGTTCCCCTTTATCAAGTTTCCCTCACAGTTTGGCTTTGTCCATATTCCTGGCTGGAGAGAGGCATCCTAAGAGTTCACTGTTTTTCCAAAAAGAGAAAAAAAAGAAAAAAACATAAGATATAACTCAGGGCCTAAACCCAAACCTTTTTGTGTGGAGTCCAGAACATTAATTATTTGACTAGATTCACAGAACCACAGGTTGTCCTAGACTTGATTATTGGCATGTGAAAACAAAGCAGATTTTGTGACTTGTGGTGCCTTATTGTTACATATTTGTGCTGGAAATTAATTTTGTGTAAATAGAAAGGGTATATTTGGCTAGGCTTTAATTTGGCAATTTGGCCAAAAATATATATATATATATCTTTATAATTATATATTTGTCAAAATACTTATCTGCATTAACAAACAGTTGGTCTCAGACACTAAACAGAAAACATGGACAAGATAGTTATGTAGTAAACTGACATTGATATTGGCTAAACAATTATGTTGCAGGGTGTTAAATTTTGGGCAGTCAATTTTTGTGCAAACTTTTCTTCAAGTGTCTTTAATTTTGCGAGTTTTTTTACAGTCACGAAAATTGCGTAAGTTAAATCCTGCAAAAATGCGTAACATTAAGGTTGTAATAAATTAATGTGGGAGGTAAGACAATAACTCAGTGAACTTGAATGCCTTTTTCAAATTTTTATGAATTCACATATTGACTTATGCCTCCAGGGATCACCTATGTCTCATTAAAATTCTCAATTTCTTATCCTGTTTTATCACTCATAGCTGTTGGAATTACAAATCAGAGAGAAACAACAGTGGTTTGGGACAAGGTCACAGGGGAACCACTTCACAATGCTATAAGTCAGTATGAATGCTCCATGAATTAATCTGTTGTTTCAAAGTTGTATGCTGACCTGTCACAAAACATATTTTTGTGTGTTTCTCGCCACTTCAGGAAATTTGCCTAATTGTTTAGTGAAGTGCAAAGTGATATGAGTTTATCTATATTTACAGTTTGGCTTGACACAAGGACAAAATCAACTGTGGATCACTTTGAAGCAAACACCCCAGAAAAGACCCGAGAACATGTCAGAGTAAGTGTA